GTAGAGAAAACAAATGTATATAGCCTTGGGATGTGTGTTACAATGTGTCTGATGAATAATCAGCTTTCCCTTTATATAGTAGGGGAAGTTTACCCTAAGTACAATTTTTAAAACGGCAAAAAATCTTTCTTTTTGCTAATTACTGATCTAGCGCTGATACGGGCCGAGATTCACGTCATGATATCCGGTTGGGCGTCGATATCACGGGCCTTTGTTAATCGTGTACGGTCGTTTGGCAATGTTTCTTGAGGTCTCATTAATCGAATTCGGTCTGGGGTCACGATTTCGATGGTTCCGGGGCAAGGTGTTTAGTTCGAGCTTGTATACGGGCGGCTCCCGGCTTCAATATCGATTACACGCAGTTATGTCCTCTCTTCGTTCCCCCTACTAGGAAATCGGGGTGCTCATTACCTTTGGTTTTGCATGTATACAGATAGTCCCTCATTTCTTAGAAGGTATGTTTGCCGAAACGATGAGAAACGACAGATGTTTCCCGGTTCCTTCTTTCGTACATTATAACAGAAAACAACAAAGAAGCCAAAATGTCCTATCAGTCACGTCGCTCTAACTTTGAGCACGTGTCAACCATTGGTTGGTTACCTCTGAATTTTTTCTATATAACGTTTCGCCCCTTGTTCTTTTTGCACTTTTTCGACCAAGCTTCTACCCTTGAATTCTCAAGCTATCATCAGCCTTCTTCAAACTTTCATATCTTCCCCCTTATTCTTCATGATTTCACACTAATTCCCAAGCTTTTACCCAGATTTTCTCCAAATCATTATACTCTCTCTTTATCTTTCAAAATCGTCTCTTGACTTTTCTAACTTCTTCAAATAACATTGGCTAAAACATCTAAATCTATTCCCCAACAAGCTGCTTCTTCTTCTCAATCGACCATTGATATCGAGGCAGTTACTCCCAAAATTATTGTCCTCGAGATGGCTGCTCCTGACATGGCTGCCAATGAGATAGCCCTAAGTCTCCCTTAAATATGTTCATCCCCGGGGGCTGCTCAACTACAGATGACTTTAAGGTCCAAAAACCCTCATCGAAATAGGACAGGGGTGAAGGAGCATCGAGGTATATATGCTCTATTACCGAGGACGCCCTTCCTATGGTCCGAGAGGACTACAATTGGGAAGGTAAGGACGTAGTAGTCCCCGAGCTCGAGGATGTCATCACTACACATGTGGAGGGATACCAAAGTGTTTATACTTACCCCTTCACACTAGGTTCAATGGACCCAATTGTTTTGGATTTTTGCAAGAGGTACGAAGTGTGCCTCGGGCAAATCCATCTGTCTTTATGGAGGATAGTGATCCTCCTTCGTTACTTTGTGAACAAAATCGAATCTCATCGGTTTACCATCGATCATCTGCTCCGTTTATACAGTCCTCGAATATTCCAAGTGGGGCTAATAAAGCTTACATGTCGGGCCAACAAGGCCCACATTTTCAAACATTGATGAAGACCGAGACCGGGATTGGCAAGGATGCTTCGTTCGGGTGAAGACCAAAGACTTGATTCCCCCCGAGTTCATGTCATGCCTTGAGAAGTGTAATGCATCTCGTAACTATAGTCTCTCCTTAAGCGTCAATTTTTTATTTATTTCCTTTCTTCTCATTCGTATTTGTGGTAATTGAGCTATTGCCCGGGTTCTAAATGCTATCCCACGGTTCAAGGCGTGAATCGAGGGCATTTGTACACAGATGTCATATTCTGAGCACTCATGGCGTAAGCTCTCGAAGGCGATGGGAGGCTTGTTTCCATGGTAAGGCCTTCCCCCGAATAGGTAATAGCAGGCTTTCTGATTTATATCATACTGACTCTTCTTTCCTCTCTTTTCTTTTTGTAGGTTTGCCCAAGAGCACTGAACTTAGGCCTATAAAAGGGGACGAGGATGTGTCCTTGTCCGTTGATCCCTCCGTTTCGGGATAGCTTGGGGCTGCAGCGGGGGAAAACAAGAAGAAAAAGAAGAAGAAGAAGAAGAAGGCTTCGGGCTCCTTGAGCTTAGAGAAGAAGCCAAAGAAAAGATTGGCTTGTAAGCCAAGAAAAGCTCTGGTTCCCGAGCACCTGACTCGGACTCACTTCTTCGGCTCAGGGATGAGTCTGAAGAAGACGATATTTTTGTGACTCACAGATCGAACCCTCTCGAGGAGCAGGCAACAATTGAGGGGGAGATTCATGAGGCCGATCTCCCTCGAACTTGGGAGATTGATGTGGAGATAGGGGCTGAGACCCCCCGGGATGCCGGATTCACTCCGAAGGAAGCGCCCAGTAATCTAGATTTCAGGGATGCCCTCCTACACCGAGTCCATGCATGAGGGAGCACAAGCAGGAAAGGAGAGGTCCAATGAAGGGGTCCATGGCACGGACGATCCCCTTCATCCCTTTTTTGATGGTGTGGACTCGTCTGCTTTGGAAGATTTTTCCGGGTTGGGCGACCTGGAAGTTCCGAGGAAGGATCTATCTTCGGAAGCCGGCGGGCCATGTTCGAGCTAGAAGTTGATCAATCAGTTCCCCGCCCTGAGCACAGACCTCGGTCGCAAAAGATCGGTTATTATTACCGTTCCTGAGGATGCCCGGGTTTTGTCTGCCCCCATAGGGATAGCCAGCTATCTCCGATGCCTGGTGATCGAGGAGGACCAGGCAAAAATGAATGAGGTAAATGTGTCATGCCTATTCAATGAGACGCAGCAGACACTAAACCGGGTAAGACATCCCGCATCTTTTTTTGACTTTACTTAAATTTTGATATTTTCTCACGTCCTTCGTCGTTTGATAGGCCTCGGTACTCCACCACGAGAGTTTCCTCCGTTACCGGGCCGAAGTCACTCAGCTCGAGCTCGAGGTCAAGGAGCTGGCCCAAAAAAAAGATATGTACAAGCTCCTCAGTGAGAACCAAGAAGGGGTCATTAAGGACCTTCAGGCCGAGCTGGATAAGGCTCAAAAAGAAGCATCGGTCCTAAGGAGGGAGCACGCCGACTTGGTCGAAAAGGTAATGGTCTTCGAAGTTAGAAACAAGGAACTATTCATAGTGACTAACAACCAAACCTCGCAGGTCTAGCAAAAGATCGACCATCTTCGAAAGAAGATGGACGAGATCCAAGTCATGGCCAATGGCTGGAAGAACAAGATGGATCTGCTGGACTAGGATAAGGAAATCGCCCAGGCAAAGCTTTCTTCGGTAGAAGTTCGGCTTCAGGTGGCATAGGAGAAAGCTTATAAATGGGCTCAGCTAAATGAAGATCTCCAAGCACAACTGAGCTCGGTTACCATAGAACGGGATGCCCTTGGAAAAGAGCTCGAATCAATGAGGTTCTAGATGGAGACAACCTCTGCCGATGCCGAGGATATGGTGGCCCAATACAAGGCAATGTTAAGGTTGTCGAGGCCCGCCTGAAGACCAATACCGAATATGTGAGGCGGCTGTCTCGAAGGGAGACCCTTGAAGAGATACATGCTCGAGGTTTTGACCTGTCTGCCGAGGTCGAGGAGGCAAAAGGACTTGTGGTCGAGGCCAAGAAACTAGCCGAACCTGAAGGTGAAGAGGGCTCCAAAGACTGCGAAGGCCCCGATGGTTCTGGTGACGTATCGGGCTCCAGTGAAGATCGGGTGTTAATGCCTTAGGATATTTTAGTTTTTGTGTACATATTTTTGTTCATTTTAAGGCTGTTTTTGTTGGGCCTATGTAATGATATTCCGAAATATATAAAATTTCCCCCTTTGGCAATTTCAATTATTTTAGTATATTTTCACGATTTCTATTCTTGCAAATATTTCTAATGCCTTAGCATAGAATCTAATGTAGTAATAAGTCATTTGTTTTTCGGAGGTCCAAACAGAACCTAACCTCAATGCAATTTTTTATTTTCTCGAAGCTTTTAAAACTCAAAGTGATAGAAAGTTTTCCAAGAATTCATAAGTGTTTTTAGGCGATGCTTTTGCCGAGGGTAACCTTTTGGCATATTTTGGATTTTTATTGAAAGCCTTATGTTTTATTACGGGCTTCGGACATCTCTAAACCATTTTTTACCATGGACATAACCTTTTAGGTTTAGGGACTACCTAATAGGTTTTGTGCCTCTAGGATTTTATAGCCGGAGATGCCCGAACTTATTTCGGACGACAGTCCCCGAGCGGGGATAGCGCAGGAGCCCGATAGTCCCACGAATAACGATAGCCCTTAGGCTCGGGTAGGGTAAGCCCTTAGGCTCGATAGTCCCCGAATAGGTATGACCCTTAGGCTCGATGCTTTGAAAGGCAAAAATATGTAATAGCAAGGTGGGAACTTTCTTTCATTTCTGTGTGTAAAGTACATGATCGAAAGCGAGTAAAAGCTTGTATTATAGCTGAGGTGGCCTATGCGGGCGCATTTCATTTGACCGTTTGGCCCTTACAATAAATCCTAACCACTGGTCCTACGTCCTTCAAGTACAAAGTTCTCTTCTTTCCTTGCTAAGAAGTCTAAACCGACTAACCCAGGGGTGATGGCCCCCAATATTCAAGGTCGATCTTTGTGAGGGCTTGGATACTATTGATGCCACCATTGAATCCAATTTAAAATCAGTCTTTGAATCTAAGTTAGCACGATCCACTTTTGCCTCATTAAAAACCTTGCCAAAAAATCCATTTGGGACAACATTGGTTTAAGGGAAAAAGAGTGCAATGCATGCTTTCAGACCTAATAGTCATATTTTCCATTGGTCGTTACCTGCAAGCATTAGTCTGATTCATAATATTATAAAAAGGTAAATGAAAACGACTTACCAATAGTGCCTCCTTAAGTGTGTTACGTTCCAGTTTCTTGGTAGTTGTGCACCGTTTCCTGCTTCGAGTTTGAACGAGCCCTTGTCGGTAATTCCGATGACTCGATATGGTCCTTCCCAATTCGGCCCCAGCTTTCCGTCGTTCGGATTTTGGGTATGCAGTGTTACTTTCCTTAGCACCAAGCCCTCAATTTTGAAGTGTCGGAGGTTGGCTCTTAAGTTGTAGTATCTTTATATCCGCTTCTTCTGGGCGGCCAATCGTACTAGGGCAACCTCTCGCCTTTCATCCAACAGTTCTAGGCTCGTACTCATGGACTCGCCATTTGATTCTTCGGTCGCATATCGGAACCTAAGGCTTAGTTCCCCCTTTTCGATCGGTATTAATGCTTTGGCACCGTAAACCAGCGAAAATGGAGTGGCTCCGGTGCTATATTTCGAAGTTGTACGGTACGCCCATAAAACATCGGGCAGAATTTTCTTCCACTTTCCTTTGGCATCAATCAGAATTTTTTTCAAATTTTGGAGTATGGTCTTGTTTGTAGACGCTGCTTGTCCGTTCCCGCTGGGGTGATAGGAGGTGGATAGAATCTTTTTAATCTTGTGGTCTTCGAAAAAGTTTCTTACCTTGCTGCCAATGAACTGCTTCCCGTTATCATACACGATCTCAGCCGGTATCCTGAACCGGCATATTATGTGGTCTAAAATAAAATCAATGACTTCTTTTTCTCAGACTTTCTCGAACGCTTGAGCTTCGACCCATTTAGAAAAATAGTCTGTCGTAAACAATATGAATTGAGCCTTACCAGGTGCTCACGACAGGGGGCCAACAATGTCCATTCCCCACTTCATTAACGCTCATGGGGATAAGACCGATTGCAGTAACTCTCCGGGTTGACGGATCATCGGTGCGTGTCTCTAACAGCCGTCTCATCTTCGTACAAAGTCCTTTGCATCTTTCTCCATAGCGACCCAGTAGTCGCCGGACCTGATTATTTTCTGAACCAAATATTCTGCCCCCGAATGGTTTTCGCGAGTGCCCTCGTTAACTCCTCTCAAAATGTATTCAGTGTCTCTCGGCCCCAAGCATATGGCGAGTGGGCCATCAAATATTCTTCTGTTCAAACTACCTTCAGACAGGCTGAACTTGGCCGCCTTTGTGCGTAGAGCTCTTGATTCTTTAGGGTCCGAGGGTAACTTCCCAGTCTTCAAGTAGTCTATGTACTTGTTTCTCCAATCCCAAGTTAAACTTATTAAATTTATTTTAGCGTGGCCTTCTTCTACTACCGATTTCATGAGTTGCACGATCGTTCCTGAGTTGAAGTCGTCATCACCAACCGATGACCCTAAGTTAGCCAGAGCATCAGCCTCGCAATTTTGATCTCAAGGCACATGCTGAAGGGTCCATTTCTTGAATTGATGCAGTGCCACCTGCAATTTGTCTAAATACCTTCACATTTGTTCCTCTTTTACTTCGAACATCCCATTAACTTCATTAACCAGAAAGAGGGAATCGCATTTAGCTTCGACCACCTTAGCCCCAAGGCTTTTAGCCAATTCGAGACCTGCAATCATGGCCTCATACTCAGCCTCATTGTTAGTCAATTTCAAAGTTCGGATAGATTGCCTAACTATGTTGCCCGTAGGCGGATTCAAAATAATGGCGAGTCCGGACCCCTTCGCGTTTGAGGCACCATCCGTAAAGAAGGTCCAGATTCCCCAGGAAGTCCCCGAGGTTAATAACAATTCCTTTTCGACTTTGGGTATTAAGGCCGGTGTAAAGTCGGCCACAAAGTCTGCCAAAATTTGTTATTTGATGGCGGTTCGGAGTCGATACTCGATATCGTACCCACTAATTTCTATGGCCCATTTGGCCAGCTGGCCCGAGCTCGGGTTTATGCATTATGTTCCTTAATGGGTAAGAAGTTACGACGCATATGGGGTGACATTGAGAGTACTTTTCAACTTTCTAGAGGCGCTTAGCAAAGTGAGCGCCAATTTCTCTGGGTGAGGATACCTTGTTTCGGCCTCGCCTAGAGTTCTACTAACATAATAAATAGGAAATTGCGTACCTTTCTCTTCCCGGACTAGGAATTCACTTACCGCCACTTCAGATACAACCAAATAAAGGTACAATTGTTCATCCGCCTTCGAAGTATGGAGTAGGGGTGGATTCAAAAGGTATTGTTTGAGTTCTCAAGGCTTTCTGGCACTCCGGGGTCCAAGAGAATTTATTCTTCTTCTTCAATAGTGAGAAGAATCAATGGCTCTTGTCCGAGGACCTCGATATGAACTGACCCAGGGCGGCTATACGCCAAATTAGCCTCTAAATAGCGTTAACACTATCTACCACAGGGATGTCTTCTATGGCTTGATTTTATCAGGGTTAATCTCGACCCCTCTGTTGGACACCATGAATCCAAGGAACTTTCCAGATCCGACCCCGAATGCGCACTTCTCGGGGTTCAGCTACATATTATATTTCTTCAATACATCGGTGGTTTCCTGCAAATGTTTGAAATGGTCCTATGCTCACAGGGACTTAACTAACATGTCATCATTATAAACTTCCATTGATTTTCCTATTTATTCTTCGAACATCCAATTTATTAGGCGTTGGCACCGGCGTTCTTTAGTCCGAACGACATTATGTTGTAATAGTGGGTGCCGAACTTAGTGATAAAGGAGGTCTTTTCTTGATCGCTCGAGTCCATCCGGATTTAGTTGTATCCGGAATAGGCGTCGAGAAAACTGAGTATCTCGTGCCCGACTGTCGCATCCATCATGTGATCGATGTTAGGCAATGTAAAAGAGTCTTTGGGACATGCTTTGTTCAAGTCTTTGTAATGTATTCACATTCTTAATTTATTTCCACTTTTAGGCACTATCACTACGTTAGCTAACCATTTCGGTATTTAACTTCCCGAATAGAACCTATTTTAAGGAGTTTAGACACCTCGTCTTTGATGAGGGAGTGCTTGACTTCATACTAGGGCCTCCTCTTCTATTTAACTAGGTGGAACTTCGGATCTAAACTCAGCTTGTGAGTGTTTATCTCCGGCGCGATCCTTGTCATATCAAGATGGGACAAGGTAAAACAAGACATGTTAGTATTAAGGAAACTAATGAGTTCTTTCCTAAGCTCGGGGGTCAACCCCGTGCCTAGGTATAACTTTCAATTCGTGACCGGTTGTTCTGCATACACTATCTTGATTCCCCCAATGTAGGGAATTTTAATACCTGGTGCAAGGTCGAAGGTACCGCCCTCATGTTGTGAACCCACGACCTTCCGAATATAGCATTATATCTCATATCCCCTTTGATCACGTAGAATTTAATTTCCTAGGTGGTTCCGCCAGTGTTCACCGGTAGGTTATCTTTTATTTAGTAGTTTTGCACGCCATGTTGAACCCGTTCAACACCTGAATTGCTGGCACTATCTGGTCTATGAGACACAACTAATCCACGACCCTCTATTTCTGATGATGTTGGCCGAGCTACCTGGATCAATCAACATATGCTTAAGTCGAAATTTATATATGAGTACGGATATTACCAGTGCATCGTTGTGCGGTTATACGATGCCTTCAGCATCCTCATCGTTGAACGAAATGGTTCCTTTAGAGGCATAATCTCGGGTTTGTTTTCCCTCATGATGGATACCTTCGTGCGCTTTAGTATGGGCCCTTATGGGACATTGACCCCTATAATGATCATGTTGATGCCGTGTTGTGCTTCCTCCCATTCGGTTTGCTTGTTGGAATCCCTGTTCCTAAAGTGATTTTGGCTCGATCACTCAAAAATTCCCGGAGATGCCCGTTATTGTATAACCAGGCCACTTCTTCTCTTAATTGTCGGTAGTCCTCAATTCTATGTCTATAAGTGCCATGATACTTACACATTAGGTTAGGGTCCCTTTGGGTAGGATCAGACTGTAACAATGGAGGCCACTTGGTGTCTTTGATGCGCCGATGGCGGATGCGGTGTTGGCAGCATCGACCCTGAAATTATATTTCGACAACGTCGGTGCCTCCCTGGCCCCGAGTGGCCTGTCGAAACTGCTTTTACTCATGAGTCCCCTGCTACTATGACCTCGTTCATTTCTCTTTTCATTCCAAGCAGGGTTATGCCCAGATCCATTACCCCTTCAGTCTCCATTATATGGTTGATACCGATCTCTGTTCAGTCTCGGTTCATGATTGGTGACTCTCTTAGATCTATCGTTGACACTGATAGGATAAACGGACCCAGAAGGGGCCCCAAGCTGATCATCCTCGACTTTGATTTTTGCCTGGTACCTGTTATGGACATCGGCCCAAGTTGCCGCCGGGCATTCTATCAGGTTCTGCTTTAATTGAAGTGAAGCTAAGGAGCTTCGGGGGTTGAGTCCTTGAGTAAACGCCTGAACGACCCAATCATCCGCAACCGGGGGCAGATCCGTCCATTCCATTTGGAATCTCGACACAAATTCCCTAAGTATCTCGTTATCTCTTTGTTTTACCTTGAATAGATCCGATTTTCTGGTTTTGACCTTGATAGCCCCGACGTGTGCTCTTACAAAGGCATCTGCAAGCATAGCAAACTATTTAATAAAATTTGGGGGTAAATTATGATACCATATAATTGCTCTCTTTGACAGGGTTTCTCCGAACTTTTTCAGCAAAACCGACTCGATTTCTTCATCTTCTAAGTCATTTCCCTTGATGGCACAAGTGTAGGAGGTCACGTGCTCATTTAGATTCGTGGTCCCGTTATATTTTGAAATATCAGGCATACAAAACTTCTTCAGTATTGGCTTTAGAGCCGCGCTCGGAGGGAAAGGTTTTAGGATAAATTTCTTGGAATCCAGGCCCTTTAATATCGGGGGCGCTCCTGGGATTTGATCAACTCTGGAGTTGTAGGTCTCCACTTTTCTGTCGTTGGCCTCAATTGTCTTCTCCCCCGATTCCACCCGCTTTGTCAGTTCCTCAAGCATCCTAATTATTTCGGGGTTGGTCCCGATCTCAGCTTCACCTGGCCATTCTGTGAACTGCCCGTTCCTTTGCGTATTTTCCCAGGATTGTTCGGGCTCAACTCTGCAGGGGGCGCGACTTTGATTCTACAGTTGTGCTATCGCTGCCTGTTAGGCTTGCAACATTTTGAAGATTACCCTCAGATTGATCCCCTCGCCCTCACCTTCGGGCGTACCTCGAGTCGTTAGTCGGGCTCCTCCGCGAATGCTATTCTCAGGATCGGTCGGCAGGTTGACATCGATGGCCAGATGCGAGTTGGCATCGATTAGGTCCACAACTGGGACTCCGTTGGGATCGGCAGGAGGCACCTCATTGCTAGGTGTTACGTTGTGGTTTTCACCATGGTGGCCAGACTCAATATCAGCGTTGAAGTGAGCAAAATGAGTTTGACATCCATAGGTCGATTTGAAGTTACAATCTCAAAAAACAAGCATAAGATATAGTGTGTTATGGAAATTTATATCAAACTTCCACTGTTATCCTTAGCCCCACGGTGGGCGCCAAACTGGTCACCCTTAAAAATAAATACCAATTGAATTTATACGCGGTTTAAGGATATGTGGATTAATTCGATACAAATGATTAATGACCTTAGATAAGAAAACAAAATACATAACAAATTGTCAAACCAATGATGATAGTGAGCTCGGGCTAGACAGAAAGCTTAACTAGAAGCCTGCCTTCGGCTCCGAGCTAATGCTTATGAAGAACTTATCAACAGAACCAAGAACTTTGAATAATTTGTAAATATAGAGAAAACAAATGTATATAGCCTTGGGATGTGTGTTGCAATGTGTCTGATGAATGGTTAGCTTCCCTTTTATATAGTAGGAGAGTTTTACCCTAAGTACAATTCTAAAAAAAAGGCAAAAATCTTTCTTTTCATTAATTATTGATCTATCGCTGATACGGGCCAAGATTC